GACTTTAAAAAATACATAAACAATCATTTTGTCCAGTGTAAAGAAACAGAACGAGAAAGATTAATCCTATTCTCAGAGAGTACAAATCTTAGCAAGACATTATTATAAAAAGCTGTGGCATATCATGTTTCGCTGGCGGTACATAATAAGTGAATGGATTAAATGTGTGGAGGTATAATGGCTTTGAAAAACCCTGCTAAGGAGGAGGAGTAAATAAAGTATATAATTTATACCAATCCTGAGCAAATGGACAAGTTACGATTTTGATGAGTGAGAACTCATGATCGAGTCGGAATTTCGTAGAAAGGTGAGAAAAGGTGAAAAAAAAAAGGTATGTTTATTATAGAGGGATGAAAACAAAGTTAAAATATGATGCATGTGTGAAAAGTTTGTTGGCAAACATAGCAAATGGATGAACGGATAATTGAATGCGAGGAAGTGTTTATTTATTGCGGTAGCTAAAGAAATTTTAGTAGAATGAATTCACTAACATTTATGACCCCGTTGAAAATAAAAATAAATGTATGAAAGAATATTCGAGATAGAAAGTACAAAAAAAAGAAAAGGAATAATGTGAACAAAAAAGGTTAAACATATCAGTCAGTTGAAATAATGTAACTGGTTAAAAAAAAGAAACAAAGAAAGCAGAAAATTCAAATATATAAACAGAAAGGAGAGAAAACAAAAGAAAGAAATTGAGAAATAACACAAAAATATATTAAAAGAAAGAAAACGAGAAAAGCAACAGGAGAAAAATTAATGAAAGAAAACAATTGATAATTAAATAAGTGAGAAAAAAAAACATAGAAATTAAGAAAAAAGAAGAAAATAAAGTAATTGAGGGAAAAAAAGGAAAAATTGAGAATGGAGGAATAATTTTAAAAAGATTAACAGGAAGTAGGAATCTGAGAATAAATGAATACAGAAAGAACGAAAGAAGAAATAAAGAAAGTTAGAAATTAAGAAAAATAAAAAAATGTAGAAAACAAAGAAACTGGGAAAAGGAAGGAAAATTGAAACAAGAAAAAAAATTAAAAAGGTTAACAGCAAGAAGAAATCTAAGAAAAAAGATAGAAAGAAAGAAAGTTAGAAATTAAGAATAAAATACAGAAAATGTTAGAAATTAAGAAAAAAGTAAGAACATGCAGAAAATAAAGTAACTGACAAAAAAGAAAGAAAAACTGAGAATGAAGAAATAATTTAAAAAAACAGGGGGAAAGAATTTGAGGATAAATAAATAAGTAAATAAAGTAAGAAATTAAGAAAGAAAGAAAGAAAGAAAGAAAGGACGAAAGAAATAAAGAAAGAAAGAATGAGGAAACTAAGAAAAATTAAAGAAAGAAAGAAAGAAGCAAACAAACTGAGAACAAAGAAAGTTAGTAAAATATTAGCAAGAAAGTTTTAGTAGCAGTGATGGATGGATTCATTCAAAAAAAAATATTGAATTCCGGATACCTCATTTGAATTTACTCGCTTCACGGCTCATAATGCTTCAATGAACATTTTCTATAAAGCAGACGACAGCCCACTTTTGATGGAAATGTTTTTTTTCTTGGTATTCCTATACGCTGTTCACAAACTTTGTTACGGATAATTCCCTATACCCTTATTTTGCGATTAAATCTTTCTCCCCACAAGTTTAATAATGAGTCCTTCCTTCGGATTTTACATGTTTAATTACAAGGAAAAGCTTATTTGATGTAGTTTTATATTACTCTCTCCTACGTGTGTGGCTATGATACTTCCAAGCCTGGTATGTGGTCTTTCTTGTCATTATTTCTTGTCATTTGCCATTGACTGAACTGTAAATAACTGGCGTGTAATATTGTATTAGCACAAGTGATACTCGATTGGAAAATGATAGAAAATCTTTTTTTCTTCTTTGTTGTCTTGTTATGCAAATGGATGAAATAATATAGTCATTATTTTCTTACGCAAAATACTTATATTTTAAAAAGTAAACAATATTTCTTTATTCGATCACTTGTTCAGATATTTGTAAAATATTTTCCGTGTTAACATTAGGATAGTCAAAGTTTAAGTTCAATGATACAATTATATATTCCAGTCTTAATAGTAAGTCCTATAGGTGCGACAAATTAAAATTGATAGCTACTCTATAAAATTACCCGTAATCAGTTGTTAACTGGGGCAAGGAATAGCTCTAAAAATAAAATGCTATCATTTAATCCCTATCGAGAACCTTCCTTTTTTCCCATCAACATGACTGGCGCTAACCTGTAAGAGAACACTTCATTGTACCTTCTAAGTATCACGTTTTCCAATGACATCATTACCCGTAATCAGTTGTTAATTGGGGCAAGGAATAGCTCTAAAAATAAAATGCTATTTTTTAATCCCTATCAAGAACCTTCCTTTTTTCCCATCAACATGACTGGTGCCAATCTCTAAGAGAATACTTCATTGTACCTTTTAAGTAACACGTTTTCCAATGACATCATATGGACTGATTATATTGAAACTATTCCTTGTTTTTCAGCTGTGAAAGTTGGTTTACTCTGTCGTACCAAAAAAATTTTCCCGTCAGAATCCATCTTCCACACACACACACACACACACACACACACACCCACACACACACACACACACACACACACACACACACACACACACACACACATATATATATATATATACTCGCACTAAAATTTTATTTTTTATACCAGGAGTTGTATTTTCCGATTCCTTTTTGAATTTGCAGGTCTGATGAATTGGATCGTGATTACGATTTCAATGTAATAAATTATAACCATGGAATATTAGTGTTTGAGCCTCTTATATTATATTCTTACTCTGTCCTGGACATTGGGTTCTCCGTGGATTCTACCCTTTTGAAATTTATATATATATATATATATATATATATATATATATATATATATATATATTATATGTGTCTATATATATGTGTGTATGTTGATCACTAATATCATCTATCTATCTATCTATCTATCTATCTATCTATCTATATATATATATATATATATATATATATATATATATATATATATATATATACGAATACTGCTGTCATATATGGCATACTGTTCCGGCGATGTATCTTGATATTCTCGACAAAATCCGAAGAAGATACTATAATATAATCGACCCTGACCTGGCATCTCGAATTCAGTCACTTCTCTACCGTCGTAATGTGGTTTTCTCTGCTTTGTTTTATCTTTTTTTAAAAATTCATGTTATTTGTTCTTAAGCAGCCCTTTTACTTGCTAACTCGACCGCATGAATTAAGACCAGTGGTATTAAGGCCACATCGTTTTAATGTTTAAATAGCTATACGTAAACGTAAATTCTTTCGAATAGTTGTCGCATTTCTCGTCTGTGGAAATCTCTTCCGATTTCTTGCTTCTATGTCACTTACGATCTTCAAACATTTAAATGCAACGTCAATCGCACTCTTCTGTCTTTACCTGTTTTTTTTATTGTCCTTTCTCCTCACTAAATATTTCACATTCTCTTTCACTTCCAGTCACCCCCCTGTGTCTTAGTGGCATTATCACCTTGCTTGTGATGAAAAGATTAAAAAAAGAGATTTTATCACTTCAATATATAAAGAAGAAGTGAATATATCTGCATCAAATTTAAGTGATCAATTTTTCTGATGTTTTATAATGTTTCTATAAAAAAGCATATTAAGACTTCAATGAAAGAGGAATATAACGACTATATGGTGCTGGAAGGTTTTTGCAGTTACTCCCGCTGGATAAACGAAATGACCGACTATTGTTCAGGTGGGTATGTGAGTGAAGAATTTGCAATGAAAAATAAGAAATCATATATTAGTTACTGTTATGGGGACCTACCTTCAAGGATAAAATAGACTCGTCTTATGATTATATTATGCGTCGCAAGAGGACTGTAGACAGAAGACGCGTTGACTACGGTTGAATACGTATATGTTTTCTGTCGAACACTCTGCTTTGGCAGAGAGGAACCAGAACGAGGATTTGCCGTAGGGCAAAGTTTCGTCCGGGGAGGTAGACAGGCCCTGAACCCGTCTAGGCGGGTTCAAAGGGTATATTTTTGGCCGAGCCTACGAGCTCGGAGAAACCCACATTAAACTCGGCCTTGTGCCACATACATTCCTGGTGGGGGGACTGTTAATTACCGAAGACGTGTTGACGACTGTACTTAGTCGTCAGACAGACGTGCAACACATCTGTATTCGTTCTTTTTGTTAATAATACGTTTTCACTGAATTGCTGAGTTCGAATTTTCTTTCGGACCTCTTCCGGGTCCACAACAGTTACGTCGTTTAAAAATTTGTTATCGATACAGCAATGGATTGGACCACGATTGACATTCTCTTTGGATCAAATGAAGAAATGTTTGATTCCGTTCCAAGCGAAAATTAATTAAGATTTTGTAGGAGTTTTACCAAGCTAAACAGCAATTAAACTATTTTTTTTTAATTTTATGTATTTTCTTATTTTGATGTTTGAACATTTTTATGCTAAGAATAAATAAATACTATATTTTTAAAGTTTCAAACAGAAGATTTTGTTCATTGAAAATCTTTCAAATACGCATAGTTTATATAATATATTATTTCGAAAACATTGTTTCAAAACAGGGATGCTTCTAATACATAGGTATTAATACAAGTCGTATCCATGAAAAGTTCACTGTTTTCATATTTTAATTTTTTGATTAATGTTTGTTGAAGCTTTGTACGAGGTCTACGACTAAAAAATAACCGTCGAATTTTCCTTTTAGGATCATTAAATATTAAAATCAAATATTAAATATAAAAGCATAACAACTTTAACAAAATATTGCAATATTGCAAAATATTGCAATAACAATAATAAGTATGAGTGTGGATCTTTATTTAGATATTTAAGAGGGTAAAATGGAAAAGATTTAAATTAACAAGGTTTTTCATTTCATCGAAGCAGACATAAAAACGCATGAGAGCATTATCGCGAACGCTAACTTCACTCTTACTCTTTCATCCCCAA